GGGCGTGGGCAGGTGGGGAACTGAGGCTCAGCCAGCCTCTGGACTCACAGTCCAGTGCTCTTCCTGCCCAATCCGTGCACCTTCTGGGCTTGCAGGAAGGAGGTCAGGCAATCTTCAGCGGACTGGGTGTGATGACCACCTAAAACCCTTCAGCGCTGAGCTCCCTGTTCCAGGGATCCTGTAGAGTATAAGGGTTGGTAGCCCTTATGGTGGCTTGGGGTCCCACGGCCTGAGTTCAGATATCTGCTCCACCTCTTGGGAAACTGAGAGGCTTTGTTTGGTCCATTCCCCTCCCCAGCACTCATTTGCTCATCTGTACAACGGGATGCTGTGAGGACCATGTGAGGCGATGCAGCTTTTCTTGTGATAACAGAGTCCTGGAAATAAGTGTGCACGGGTGCCTGGTTCTTTGCGCTTGGCCTCCTCCTTCCCATGTCTGGGCAGGGAAATGGGTCGCCGCTGCTAGATGCTTCTGGGCAGGGGCATGGGTCAAAGCTTGGTTTCACCAGACACATTCTGAGTTGGCGTGGGTAGCCAGGTCATCTGAGCCAGGGCTGTACCGCTGCTAGATGCTTCTGGACAGGGGCATGGGTCAAAGCTTGGTTTCAGCCAGACACATTCTGAGTGTGGCGTGGGTAGCCAGGTCATCTGAGCCAGGGCTGTCCTGGACAAACCAGCTTGCTGCTGGGCACAGCTGAGGCCTCTGGGGCATCAGAAGCATCAGCTTCCTGCTTCTACCCAGTGCCCAAGTGCTTACCTGTCTCTGCTGCTCCTGGAAGAAGGCCCAGGTGTTTTGCATCACCCACTAGGGAGTGGCAGGAGATGGAGTAATGCGTTTCGCCACCACGGAGCCTGAGGCCAGCATGCCTTCCAGCCGCTAGTGGGTAGCTGAGAGCACAACAGAGCCAGTGAGGATGGGACCTCAACTTCTGGCCTTTGTGCTGCACAGTGAGGCCTCTGATCCCACCCTCCAGTCTGCCCTGGACTCATGAGACCAGAAGCTAGAGGGCAGTTGAGGTCAAAAGCACCAAGCCCTCAGCCCGTCGTTGGGTCTTGGGTGCCTTGGAGAGGGGTGAAGTGGTTAACCCACTAAGTAGGACATCTGCCTGAGAATCATGGGGGTGAGGGTAAGGGATGTTTAGGGTCTGTTCTCTTCCATTCATCCACCATTTATTGAGCACCTGCTGTTTGTCGGACACCACGGTGGGCCTTGGGCTGCATGGTGTGGATGCCACATGGTGTGTGTGTGTGGTGGGCAGAGGAGAATGCCCTTGAAAAAAAAATGTCTTCTTTTTTTCCCATTTCAAAGTCATGGGTAGAGGACACAGAGCCCGTTGGGAAGGACGAGGGTCAGACCGGGGCTGCCACTGGCGAGGGCTTTAGGTAGTGAGGGGTCCCACGCTCACTCAGAGTGCCTGTAATGCTTGGTAAATGAAGGAGTGTGTCAGGCATGAACAGTAAAGCGCAGGACCCTTCTGTGCTTTATTCTTTTATTTGCCAAACAAGCTCCCAGCAGGCATTTTAGTCAGGCCCCACGCCGGGCACTGATAAGAAAGACCTACAGCCGGCCCTCTCAGGAGCTAAGTGCCCATTGGTCAACATAGAGGACCGGGGCAGGGCCTGGGAGGTCCGGCCAAGGGCTTGGGGAGCGCGGCAGGAAGCTGGTGCTCTCCAAGGTGGTGGGGAGTGTGGGGAAGGCTTCACAGAAGCCTTGAACTGGGTGTTAAAGAACACATTCTTCTGGAAGGATTAGGGGAAGAGGACATTCCAGGCAGGGTGGCACAGCATGCTTAAGTGCTTGGAAATGTGATTCAGAACAAGATATTCCGGGAAAGGACAGTGGCCTGTGTGGATGCAGAGAGCTCGGGGGAGGGAGGAGAGTTGAGTCTAGAAAAGTAAGTGAGGTCGGAATGTGCCGTGCGGGGCTTCACGGGCCAGGCTGTGGGGTTTGGGCTTGATTCTGCTGAGGGGGAGAACCATAACACAAGTTCATCAATAGATGGTTGACCTGGATGACCTCTCTGGCAGTGGAGTGGCTGTGGGCCTGGAGGTGGCCAGGCAGAGTCTGAGACCGGCTCATCCATCAGCTCAGTCATCCGTGCAGGATGCATGTTTGGAGCATTAGTGTCTGCTAGGCAGTGGGGGTCTAGTCGTAACAGGCAGGCAATGTCCTTGCCCTAATGGAGTTGACATTCTAGTGGAGGGGGACAGACGGTGTGCAGGTAAACGAGCGAACCTACGTGTCACAGAATGCTCTGAAGACATAAAACGAGTCCAGGCAATGGGGTGGAGGAGGGGCAAGTTCAGACGGAGTGGTCGGGGAAGGCCTCTCGGAGGAGGTGAGGTCACCTGAGCCCTGTGAAGAGGCCAAGGGGCATTCCAGGCAGCAGGAACAGCAGGTGCAAAGGCCCTGAGGTAGAAGCCTGTGTGTCTTGTTGGAGGAAGAGAGGAGGGTCATTGTGGCTGGAGCGCAGGCAGAGGGAGGTGAGCAGGGCCAGACAGCACACAACCTGAGAGGCTTCATCCAAAGGCTGAGTCTCTTCCTACATGAGGGAAGAGTTGGAGGGTATTGAGGAAGGGCGTGCTGTCGTCTGGTGGACATGTTAGGCAGCCTGCACTGGCTGCTGTGCAGGATGGTTGGGACAGGGGCAGGAGTGGAAGTCGGGAGTCAGTTGGGCAGACGCTGTTGCAGCCTCCCCGGCAGGGGTGGAGGGAGTTGGTAGAGGGGGGATGGTGGCTGCTCAGGCTGGACCCAGGAGCAGAGCTGATGGGGAGGAGAAGAGGGGAAGAGGACTCTTGGGTCTTTGGCGTGACCTCTGCTGGCTGGAGAGGCCTTTCGGGGAGCTGGGGACACCTGGGGGAGGAGGCTGGGGTAGAGCGAGAGAGGAGTTAGGGGCTGTTTGAGGCTGGAACTCCACGGAGAGGTCAAGGCTGGAGTCAAAGCTCTGAAGTCCCGTCAGGCGGATGTCGTGTGAGTCCAGGCATCGAAAGAGAGGCGGCCCGTGTCTGAGTTCAGGGTCTCTGCAAGGCCCGCCGATAACTCAGACCCAAGGCACATGGGGGCCCAGGTGCAGGGTCTTCCTTATTTCTGGGGCCAAACAGTAGAGAAGGGTTTTTGGGTAATGGGCTGAGTAATAGCCCCTGAAGATGTCCACATCCTAATCCCCAGAACCTGTGGGTAGGATACCTCATGTGGCAACAGGGACTTGACAGTTGTGACAAAGTTAAGGATCTCGGGATGGGGAGTGTAGTCTGAAATACCTGGGAGCGGAGGCAGTGGTGTAATCACAAGGGCCTTAGGGAGGCAGGCGGGTCAGAGTGAGGAGATGTGACACGGGAAGGAGGGGTCAGGAGCCCAGAGATGCAGGTGGCCTCTGGAAACCGCAAAAAGTAAGGAAATGGGTTCTACTCTAGAACCTCCAGAAATGCAAGCTCATCATAAATCCATGTTGTTTTAAGTTCCTGACTTTGTGCTCATTGGTTAGAGCAGCAACAGCAAACTAATTCAGGGTTCTAGGGCTTCCCCCAGTTTTTGGCCTCCAAACATTTTTGATTACTCACCTCAATAAAAATACTTTTGATTCTTTCATAAATTCTTTATTATACCTCATACCCTGAAGTGAGCATTTAAAAGGCCGTTCTCTTCCAGCCCCTGTACCAGCCCACTCTGGAGAACTCAGGCCCTGGGCAGGCAAGGCCAGGGCTGGAGTCCCTGGGAGCCTCGGGAAGTGACAGGGACCTTCTGAGAAGGGAGGTCAGCCAGGTTCTGTGCCTTGCCCTGCTGGCGGGTGAGCCTCGAGGCTCTGGCCTCCACTGAGAAGGAGTCGGTAGCTTGAGGTCAAGCCACGCCATGAGTTTTGGCTTCTCGGTGGCTGGGCCTCATTAATGAGGCTGACTCACAGCCCAGGTTGCCCGGCACAGTAGCCCCAGAGGGAGATTGAGCTGGCTGAGGGCCGCCTTTGCCTGCTGAGGCCAGGGGCCACGGTGCGCCGTGAGAGGCCCGCCGGCACCTCAGAGCCTGGGTCGGAGGATGTGCTATAAAGGTACACTGATGGGGGGGTCAAGGTAGAGATGTGAGCCTGAGACCTGGCTGTTGAGGAGCCATCAGGCAGTGACAATAAAGCACATGTGGGGACAGTGGATTCCCATCGTGGAGGATGAGGAGGTACAGAAAGAGGGTAGCTTTTAGTCATTCATTTAACAAACATCTCATCCCCTGCTCTGTTCCAGGCCCTGGGATGGGCCCTGGGGAATCAGGCAGGTGAACGGAGGGTCTCAGATGGTTTGACAGGCTGTCCTGTGCCGAGGGAGGTCCATGAGCCTTTGGAGACTTTGTTGGGTAGGGACATCCAGGCCCCCTAGAAATGTCCCTTCCCAGTCTTAGTGCCTCTCCTCTGTCCTGGATGCCGGGGGCAGGAATCCAGACCTAAGAAGCTCATTGTCAGATAGAAGTTTGGAGCCTGTCTGATGTGGAGACGGCTAAGTCACTTACTGCTCCAGGTAGCAAGCTTTGTAGAAATCTAATCACCAAACATCCAGACACGGTTTTCCGGATGGAATGGGGTTTGTGACATCAAAGGCTCCTCCGTGCACATGTGGTCTTGGGTTGACATCATTGTCTAGTCAGTTGGGAGGCTGAGGGGACACCGGGAAAGGCTCCTGTGGTTGGAGGCATAAAGTGACAGTGACAAGCTCCGGTGACACATTGTCAAAAATGATGGCAATAAATTGATGGAAGATTGAATTTCCATTTACAAAAATCTTAATTAACGTCCACATTTCAGCTGTGGACGACTGCATAAGCCTTGTCTCCTTGGTTGTGTGCAGGTACCAGGTCCGCTTATTTTAAACTATAAACTACAAGCGGCTTTAACACCAATTCTTCCTACACTATTTTCTTGCTGAAATCAGAACCATTCCCGGGGTGGGCTGGAGGCAGGGGTGCGTCTCCCACTTGTCTGAGCCCTGAGTCTGGGCAGGAAAAGCATGAGGCAGAGCCATGGCCTGCGGGCAGCTGGCTGTTAGAGACGCCTCTTGTGCTTTACCTGGCCCTGGAGCTTCCAGCTGTCATTACCTGTTCCCCGTCAGATGAGTCTTTCTAGCCCTCCCGAGGCCTCGACTGATGAGAGACTCATCTCCCTGGGTTGGAGTTGATCTTGACTCTGAGCTGGGCTGCAATATGAACTTTCACCAGTAGGTAGTGGATCTGGCCAGATGTTCTAACCTCTCCACGTCTAGCATGTGCTTGACGCAGGTTGGATGTTTGGAAATTGTTGCATGACTAAAAGAAGGAATGAATGAACGAGACAGGAAGGACAGAGGAGGCAAAGGAAGATTTCATACTCCAGCATGAAGGTTCACTAGGTTTAAGGTATTATATTCTATAAAATGAATCAGTTCAGCAGTTAAAAGATGGTACCGCTCCAAGATGGGGCTGCCCTGACTCCCCGTCCAGGGAATGTGGCGTGCAGGATCCTAGTAACATTGTTAGACGTGCCTTTTGTGGGAAGGTAACAGTCGCTGTGTCAGGTAACTACAGTTCAAAGGCTTTCTGCTGGATGAAAGCTCCTCAGTTGCTTTTGAAATCTCTTCTTTATCTTTCAGAGTGAAACATCTTTCAACCTAATATCAGAAAAATGTGACATTCTATCAATTCTTCGAGATCATCCTGAAAACAGGATTTACCAGAGGAAAATCCAGGTGAGACAGAGGGTCAGGAGGAGAGAATCCTAGGTTCAATGAACTAGAGTTGGGAGCAGAGGAGAAGGTACCGCTTTGAAGGCAAAAAACTTAGCATTTGGACCAGGTCCCTGGGCAAATTAAAGGGCTCCCAGAATATTCTGATGTTGGGTATTTGCCTTAGTGAGAAATCCTTTAGTGGGGGGGAAAAAAATACCAAACAATTTTTTTAAAAGCTAGGTACTGTCCTACAGGCTTTATATTCTAAGACCTCATTACAACATTCTAAGGTCAGTACTTTTATTATCCACATTTACAGCCGAGGAAACTGAGGCACAGACATTAAATGGCAGGCCCACGGTCCTACAGCCAGTGCACGGATGAACTGGGATTTGGACCAGGCAGCCTGGATGCCTAAGCTGCAGCCATCAGCACCCTGGAGGGAAAGCCCGCTCCAGCGGGGCTACACAAAGGGCAGTTTGCCCAAAGGGCGCAGGGACAGCTCACAGAACGGGGCGGGGGGCGGGGGGCAGCATGTGTCTGCTCCTCTCTGTCCATTGGCAGGCCTGTCTCCTTCAGCTGCAGGGAGCACTTCCTGGGGCAGGCACATGGGCTGGGCGGCACAGCGACTCTCCTGCCCCCTAGAGTCCTCTTGCTGTCCCCTGCCGGCCCGCTGCCCGTGGGCCCGTCAGCTCCGAGCCTTCTCGTGGCTGTGATGGGAACAGGGACTCTCCAACCTCTTGAAAACCAAGCTCTGCTCTCAAAACCCTGAGTGCAGCCCTAAAAGGTAGCAAAGGGGACTCCGGGCCATTTCGGAGGGAATTTGACAGCCAGGAGCAGAGCTGGAGTGGGGGTCACGGGGAGGACCACATCATTTGAGAAATGTTTGAAGGACGGGCCGGACCGCTTCATATGCCCGAGGAGGGCCTTCCTGCCAACTCTGCAGCCCTCTGGCCCGCCCTGTAGCCACGCTGCAGTCCTCACCACCTCTGCTCACACATGCCGCCCCTGCCATGCACGCCCCTTGCACACCCCTAATGCTCCTCTCAGCGCCGGTCCTCCGGGAAGCCTTCTTAGGCTTCTGAAGCCTGCTGTGGACGCTATTGCTCCACGGACCCCTCCCCCTGCCCCAACTGTGATGCTTCTCCAGTCCTCCTATCTCAAACTTCTAACTCTCCAGCTTCCCTGCTAGACCTCAGACTGTCTGAAGGTGGGGCCCAGGTCCCCGGTCACCACCCGGTGTCTGACACAAGGACACAGTCAGCGTATTTTCATATTTGTGGGATGAATGAGAGTTTGGAGACCGGAAGGGGCGGGCAGCCTGGGCGAGGTGGGGACCCGGCTCTGACGAGGTGGAGACCCGGCTCTGACACCCCACGACAGAGGGGTGTCATTGCACACATCCACATTTCCCTCTCTCCCCCGCAGGAACTTAGCAAAAGGTTCACCGCCATCCGCAAGACCAAGGGGGATGGGAACTGCTTCTACCGGGCCCTGGGCTATTCCTACCTGGAATCTCTGCTGGGGAAGAACAGAGAGATCCTCAAGTGAGTGGGGCCGAGGGGCCGCTGGGTGGGCTCCGGCTCCGAGGCTGTGTTCTCTGCTATGTCGGCCCCGAATCTCCCTGAGAGTTTTTCTTGGGCACAGGCTGCTTGACTCAGGGAACGAGCTGGAGGGCTGCCTGGCAGTGGCGTTGATGTTCTGAGATGCTAGCTGCCTGCTGTGTTGGAGATGGGGGCATACAGCAGCCGGGGATGGAACCTGTGACCGTGTGGCCACAACACTCAGGCTTGATCCATGGACCTGGTCCCAGAACCCCTTTGCTAAGGCAGCGTTCTCAGCAGAGGCACCAGTGACATTTTAGGCAGGATCCTTCTTGTCGGGCTGTCCCGTGCTCTGCAGGACGTTTGGTAGCATTCTTCACCTCCTCCTACTAGATGCCAGGAGCATCTTCCTCTCCAAGTCATGACAATAAAAAATGTCTCCAGACGTTGCTAGGTATCTTCCTGGGGCGGAGGGTGGAAAGTCAGCCTTGGTTAAGGCCATGATCTCCTGTTCTAAATATAGAGTCCCTCAGAGGGGACAGAAATTAAGCCACTTGTTCCTTATTTTGAATGAGCCATTCGTATCATTTCCTGGATGACAAGCTGGCTGAGGCCGCTTTGACAGAGAGTCAGCTATCTCAGCTCACTCCCCTTCTCCATCTCCCTGCGGGTGTTGGAGACAGCACAGTGCAGGGGTCTTCCCCACCACCCATGTCCCCTGGAATTGTGCCATGCAGGGGCCCTGGGCTTTGAGGTCAGACCTCATGCTCTTGCTTACTTGCCATGTGACCTTGAGCAAGTGACCCGACATCTCTGAGCCTCTGTTTCCACATCTGTAGAGGGCGGATAATTCTGTATAGCTCAGGGGGTTGTCGTGAGGACTCAGCAAGGTGATGCTCCCCAAGCCCAGCCCCCCGTGACTCCATCCCGGCCCTGCCTGCTCTGTTTTCCGAACCTCTCTCCTCCCTGCAAGGCGCCCTCCCTCCCTGCAGACATCACCCAACAAGGCACCACACGTGACCCTGCTGTAGGCCCTGGGGATGCAGCAGCAAGTAGGGGAGACAAAACTCCCTGTCTGTGGACTTGCGTCCTGACAGGTGAGGATGGACAGTACATCCAAACAGTGCTGGTGTGTCAGATGGTGGTGAGTGTGGGAAAAATCAGGCAGGGAAGGCAGCCAGGTTGTCCAGAGGGGTTGCAGTTTTAAATAAGGGTTGGGGAGGTGAGGGGAGCAGGTCACATAGGGCCTCATGGCCTTTATAAGGACCTTGAATTTCAGCCTGAACGAGATGGAGCCACAGAGGGTTTGAGCAGAGCAAGGGGCCTGACCTGCTGGCTGCCGTGTGCGGGACAGGGACAGACCGGGTGGGTTCTGCAAGGGAGCAGCAGCGGATGTGCTCGGGGAGGGACCCGCCAGAGAGGTGATGGGGGCGTGAGCCGGTGGAGAAAGTGCTCAGATTCCAGGTACCTGTGCAGGTGGTGTCAACAGGATTCGCCCACGGATCCGGATCCGGTGTGGCACCTCCGTGTGAGCGGAGAGAGCGCGTCAGGAATGACTGCCACGCATTTAGCCTGAGAATTATCAGGACGGAGAAGCCACTTGCTGCAAAGGGAGGCTGGGAAGGTCGGGAGCGTCATTTCAGCGATGCTAAGTCTGAAATGTCCGGGGGCCATCGGAGTGCGGGTGTCCAGCAGACAGTGGGATGAGCGAGGCTGATGTTACCCCCATTTTACAGTTGAGTAAACTGAGCCTCAACATCACCTTCCCATGGTCACAGTGAAGCTGGTGTCAGCGGAGAGAGCCAGTGCTCCAAGTCCCAATGCCACACTCCTTCCCCTCCCTTGCCTCATGGGGGCGTGAGTCCTGGCCTGGGTGACACTCATCACCGTGTCCCCAGTGCCTGGCGCAGTGGGGTCAGCAGTCATCGGTGAGCAGCGAATGTGGGAATGCTTCAGAGGGGCAGCGGTGGGGAGGGGAAAGGAGTAGGGGCAGGAGAGCCGGGATGGGGGTGCAGAGCTGTGTTAATCCCCCCTCCCCGGGACGAAGTGACCCAGGGGCCCTCTAGCAGCCCTCATGGAGGCGCCTTACCATCACCCACACCGCGAAGAGGGGGAGCCAGCGACTCCCAGCGACTCCCAGCACGGCGCTCATCTGCACCTGCCCTAACAGACTTAGATACCAGGCCCAGCCAGGGGCAGGTTGCCTTTGGGCACAAAACACCCCACCTCTGGTCTAGATCTCTTTCCGCTCCACCCCCTCCTACCTCCTCCCATCCTGCAACAGGGCACCTCAGTCTCTCCAGGCCTTTCTCTCTGTCTTTAGTCTCTTATGAAAACCCCCCTCCTGTGTTTTCCTTGGAGTCTGGCCTTCCTCTGCAGGGGATGGGCTGCAGCCCTGGGCGTGCCAGCCCCGCCCCCACCCCGCCCCCAGCCTCTCTACATGGTCCTTCTTGCGTGGGTTGCTCCCCCCCTCTGTGGACCATGGTCACTGGGTCCATATCTCGTCTCTGCTGCTAGGCTCTGTGTCCTGGGGCCGGGGACCAGGCGGGGCTCCTCGCCGTGCCCCGCAAGAGTACCTGGACACGAGGCTGTGCCATTAGGCGGCCTGCAGTGGGGGCAGAGAGGACAATGCAGTACTGACAAAGCAAGGGCCATTGGATCAGGTCTTGAAGGGTGGTCAGTGCTGGCAAAGGTTTAACTGCAGTGGGCTGGGGAGGCTGCTTTGTGGTGGCAGCTGATTTCTTTGGTATAAATACTCCTGTCGTGATTGATTTTCAAGCTGCCATCATAGGGGCATTGAGCAGGGAGATGGGAAGACACACCGCAGTCCAAATGGTATTTCTGCTGTATATACACAATAGACAGATAACCTTGAGAGCATAAATAATAGTAAAATGATTAGGAAATGATGAGTTTTGAATATTTATTATCTTTGTTTTTTAGTATAATTTATTTAATTTTAAGTTTACATAACTCGATTTTTAAATAATGGCTATATTTAACACCGGGCTGGCAAAATTCTTGAAAATTTAACAGTTAATTAGCTCTTGGGAGTGGAGATGAGCTGTCAGTAGCACACCACTTAGGAGAGCGTCCCTGGCCGAGGGGACAGTGGGTGCTAAGGGGTGAAAATGAGAATGGGGAGGCTGTGGGCGGGAGGGAGGCTGGGAGACGGGACCAGAGATGTGGCTGGCGAGCGAGGCAGGGCCCTCCCTGGACACTTGTACTGAGGGAGAAGACTGTGGGAGGTCACTCCAAAGGTCCCTGTGGAGAAGGGACCAGGAGCAAGGGAAGGCTGGACCAGAAATGGTGACGGTCTGGCAGGAACCATGGGGACGGGATGGAGGGGCAGGGTCAAGACACTTTTGAAAAGTAGAATCAGCGTGTCTGGGAGCGGGTGGTGATTACCTCAATTTTCTTATCTGCGAAACGGGTATAACACGCACCTCCTGGGATCGTACACAAGGAGGAGGACAGGACAAGTCAGTGAGTGGTCCGCGTGGAAAGGTAGGAAAGTCCTTCATCTTAGTGACGTGCACCTCCTCGGGTGTGTTGTGGGCGGGGGCAGTGGGTGACAGTTGGCAGTCACAGCGGCGCTCACCGTGTTTGTAAGCATCAGTCTACCCTCTTCAGGTTCAAAGAGCGTGTGCTGCAGACACCGAACGACCTGCTGGCTGCCGGCTTCGAGGAGCACAAGTTCCGAAACTTCTTTAATGCCGTGAGTCGACCTGGGCACCACGGCCGAGTGGGCGCTGGCCCGAGCCCCTCCACAGCCCACGGCTCTGCAGTCCTGCCGCTTGCTCCTCCCTTGCTGGGGAAGGCCCGAGGGCAGCTTCCTGCTTGGGGGGACATGGGGGACTGGGGTCCGGGGCCCTGCCCTCCATCTGGGAGGAGGCGCCTTCTTCAGGGCCACTGTTCTCAGGCTGGAAACATGTCCCCAGCTTCCTTCGTCCCATTCCCTCTCCAACCCATTCCCCTGACCCCCTTAGTGAAGCGGGGAGGGCTTGGAGGACTCTCCGTTCTAAATGTCTAAAAATCCCAACCAGATCATGGTTGCCAGACGTGACTCCGGGCTAAGGCGCTTAATACGCCCCAGTTACCTGTTACTTAGCTTTGGTCAGATCTCAGATGGATTGGTTTTTATACCTCAACTTGAGGATTTAAAAACGCAAATGCGCGTGGCGGGGAGTCCCCTGGAGCGGGGGCCGCGGGTCTGACGCCGTGGCGGGTCCAGTTCTACAGCGTGGTGGAACTGGTGGAGAGGGATGGCTCGGTGTCCAGCCTGCTGAAGGTTTTCAACGACCAGAGCTCCTCGGACCAGATCGTGCAGTTCCTGCGCCTGCTCGCCTCGGCCTTCATCAGGAGCCGTGCCGACTTCTTCCGACACTTCGTCGACGAGGAGATGGACATCAAAGACTTCTGCACTCATGTAGGTCCCCAGGGTCCTAGGCTTTGGGGACTCAGCCCCCAGCCCCGGGGCTCAGCGCTCCCTGCCCCCTCTCGACACCCTAGCACCGGCATCCCTAGCCAGGGGACGTGGGTGTCACCCTGAGCATAGATTAGCAAGCCGGAAGTATCCTACTTCGGCTGCCTGAAAAGTGTGGCTTTTGAACAAGTCACTCTCCATCTCTGGGCCTCAGATATCCCATCTGAGCAGTAAGGGCTTTGGACTGGACTGTTGACATGGAGCAACCCCAGAGTCACATTTGCCCCAAGACGTGTTGTTTATCATGTTTGGTATTAAAGAACTGCCAACATTTAAACACTGGGCAATTTTCATATGAAAACCTGGGTTTCTCTGGAAGAATCGGAAGATCCAGCCCCCAGGCCTTATCCTTGTGTGGCAACAATCCGCGGGAGCTAAGTGGCAGCCGCCCTAGTTATGTGGGACATGACTCTCCAGCTTGCCACCATCTCTGCTCTTGCCATTGTCACTTCAGCATCCCGACTCACTCGCCCAGCCCTCTGTAACCACTCAAGCTTGAAATCCCTTCACGACAGAGGCCCTTCCTGCTCCGAGGTTCTTCGGTTCTGTGCATTAGGAAGACGGAGCTGAAAAATCCCCGCCCCGCTTTCCAGATTCCTCGTGGCATCCTCTTCCTCCAGACAACTAGAGGGCTTGGTTCAGGATCTAGGTTCGGGCTTTGCAATTCTAGCGATTTCTAGCTGTTACTTCCTCACCGAGCTTCAGTCTCCCACTCTGTAAAATAGGGGTGTCAACACCTACCTCATGGACCGTTGTGAGGATTCTCTCACAGTACAGAGGCTTTGACCCAGGACCATGAGAGCCAGGGTTGGACTTCTCACTTGTCCTCTGCTAGGCCCCCTTCCTAAACTGGGGTTTTTTCATTTTGGCCTTTACAGGAGGTGGAGCCCATGGCCATGGAGTGTGACCACATTCAGATCACAGCCCTGTCTCAGGCACTGAACATCGCCCTGCAGGTGGAGTACGTGGACGAGATGGACACGGCCCTGAACCACCATGTGTTCCCCGAGGCTGCCACCCCTGCCGTTTACCTGCTCTATAAAACATCGCACTACAACATCCTTTACGCAGCTGATAAACATTGATTAATTTTAGGCCATGCAGTAGAACCTGTCACCCAACGGGACTGCATTCTGAATGGAACATCCCGGCTTTTCAATTTTTTAAGCGATTTAGACTGTAGTTAGAAAACAGAAAATGGATATAGCCTTTTGGGCAGTCACTGGGAATGAGGCCTACCTGTTATGGAGTGTGGTAACTTGGCAATATTTTTAGTATTTATTTTTATGGAGGATCGAATGCTTTCCAACTCATGACTTGGAGGCCAGGACCTCCAGCTCTCCCCGCAGTTCCCTGAGACCTTGGGGGGGCCATCTTCCCTCTCTGGACCCATTTCTTCATCTGGATGAGGTCGCTGCCAGTGTTGACATTCTATTGTGTAAAAACACTTTCTTTTCACCAGAGGCAGTGCCTCTCTGTAGGCAAGGAAAAGCTCAAGGCCAACTGTCTTAAGTGACTTACTCGTTTTATTAAAAAAAAAAAAATTCAAGTCCAATCAGCCGTTGGGCTGGACTTTGGTGGGCGGCTGACTGAAGCGTCGGCCAGTGGAGGCCGACCTGAATGTGAGTGCTTCGGTGAGGTTTTCTTACCCAACTTCAAGAGCAAAAAGAGACTTTGATGCCGAAGTCTAGAAAGGGGCCTCCGCATGAAGCTGCACGCTGGGCCCCGTCTCCCTCAGGGCCAGGACTGCCCACCAGCCCCACCCGCACAGAGGCTGGAGAAAGGCTCCGGGATCAGAAGCTGCCTCGTCATCCCCAGCACGTCTTACAAGTAGAATCTAGAACCTCAGGTGGAGGGGCTGGCACACGTAGCCGTAGACTCCAGCTGAGCGGAGCAGACTCAGTTGTGCAAGGCTGTCTTCGTCTTCTTTCCCCTTCCCCGCTTCTGCTCGGTTTGTGGCTGGTGACAGGTGAGGCAGGAAAGGACAGAGGCAAGCTGAGGAAGTTGGCGATGGGGGAGACATCCATGGTGGAAACTGCCTGGGCGCCAAGAGCCCTGGCTGGCAGTCGCCTCATCCATCCAGCTGGACATGCCCCGTCATACTCTCATCTCGCTGCCCCAGGACCTCGGAGAGCCCTGGCTGGGCGGGGGCACTGCTAGCGAGGCTCGCTGTGGGAGGAAATGCAGGGGTGTGGATGCCCTGTGGGGTCCTTCCGCAATCACAGGCCTTCTACTCACAGGTTCCGTTCTGCAGAGACTTAGACTCTCAGGGCTGCAGTGTGCGGCTGCCGACGGCCAGACCATACACAAGGAGACCTGGGCGGCCTCTTCTCGGCAGACCGCTCCAAGTCCTGGCACACAGACGTCGGATCTGTGTCAGTCGTCTGCCTCTGTGAGCACAGATGTCAGGGTGCTTTAATTCCAGGCAGGGACCCAGCTTCCCATCATTCTCTCAGCTAGAATTTGTACCCAAGGGCTCAAGCTAAGTGATTATGTCACTTTTCCACAGAATCTGACCCTAATCTGAGTTGGTTCAGTGACCCGCCTTCTCTGGGTAGGAGTGCCGAGGTCTGTGACAGTACCCTGGAAGAGGGGGGGTAGCGGGGCACGTTACATGATTTCTGAGCATCAGGATCCCTGTTTCCAAACTGAATGCCCTTGGCCGCTCTGAGCGGTGTGGGATGGGTCCTGGGTGCCCAGCCAGGCTCTCAAGCACAGCATAAGTGGCACTGGCTGCCACTTCTCTGCATCTGTGGCTTGTGCAGCATTCACAAAGCAGAGCCTTCTCTTTGGCAGACTGGCTGGAGAAATCCCAAGCCTTCCCTATGCTGTGCTTCCAGGCCTAGGGGCCCGCCGTGGCCCAGCTGCAACCCTCTTCCCAGGAGAGAGCCTCTCACTTTAGTCAATGCCCAGGAAAGGCGGGCCACACTATTTCCACGCTCGCACCCTCTGCTTTACCGTTTCCCAAAACCACTGGCCAAATCCAAACCACTGCTCTCTTCCCTCAGATCTTTCCTCCAAGGGAAAGCGCTATGGAGAAGCAGCCATGGCAGAGTTCAGGGAGACTAAGATGCTGCTCCTGGATGTGGACGGGGTTACGTCTCAGACTCATCCTAAGGTGGAAATATCCTTTGGAAAATGTGTCAATACACCTAACCTACCAAACCTCAGAGCTCAGCCTAGCCTGCCTTAAACATGCTCAGAACACGAACATGAGCCTACAGCTGGGCAATGACCTTGAGTTTCATCTGAAGAGTCACCTTCCTCTTCTCACCAGAAGCAGGAGACACAGATGGGTGTTTCGTAATCACGGTGAGATGAGAAAACAAAATACAATATCCAAAAAAACGCTGCTGACAGTACACTGTCGCAAACCGGCAGTTTACCCCAGTGAACTCCCGGCTGGCCTGGAGCTGCAGCTCTGCCGCTGACCAGCATCGCAAGTCACCTCATCGCGTGTCACTAGCCCGGGATAAGATCAAAATTCGAACTATGATTTCTACTGAATGCGTCTATCACTTTTGCACAACTGTAAAATCAAAAAAAGTTATTAAGTCAGAGGCAGTCTGTAACTTCAAATCTAGTCATCCATGACAGTGACCTTGCTTGTCAACAGCAGCTGGTCACTCCAGCAATCCACTTCATGGATAATTCTCTACCCCACCCCATGAAGCCATCTCCTTGTAAAGTTCCTTTGAGAGTTGCTCTTTTAACTGTACATTTCTTTTCAAAACTTTTTAAATCAATGGGAATATTTAACAACAAAAAGTACAAACTGTCCTTGCTTTTGACTAGGTTCCTATTTTAAGCACAAAGGGACTCTGGAGCCAGCCTGAGTTTGAATCTCAACTTTGTTACTACTTACTGTGTGACCTTGGCCAAGACACTTTACCTCTCCGAGCTCCAACTCCCACATTAGTGAAATGGAGACGGTGCCCACATGTCACAGGATTGTCGGTTAAAGTGCAACGAGACCGAGTGTGAAAGCTGGAGCGGACACGTGGCATTCTACAGCGGGTGCGCCCCAGCCCGGCCCTCCCGAGGGGAGCAGCAGGGCACTCACGATGGGGAAACATGCCACTGGGGCTTCCCACACAGTGGTCTAAGAACCAAAGACGTTCCCACACTGAGCAGGATGGGGGCGGGGCTGTGGCTCAGGGAGTGGCTGTCCAGGGGCCCCAGGTCCTGTGGGATATGGGCCAGGCCCTACAGCTTCCCTGGGCAGTTGGTGAAAACCTTTCCTAGCATTAAAATGGATTCTGTAACAACTTTTGTCCTGGCTTAGTTTTTGGTACCCGTGGGGCTTATGCCTGCGAGAGCGCGTGCGTGCGTGCGTGTGTTTTCCTCGTTCAGTGAAAGATCCAGATGCCGTTTGGTACCCGTGGGGCTTATGCCTGCGAGAGTGCGCGTGCGTGCGTGCGTGCGTGTGTGTGTTTTCCTCGTTCAGTGAAAGATCCAGATGCCCAGGAAGTCTGGGCGGGAGGTGCCAAAGGAACCACAGCTTCGTCAAAGCTTCACCTCATCAGGTCAGAGAGCAGAACTGCCTGGAGGCTGGCCTCACCTTTTAAAACCTGCCCCTTAACATGTCACCCCACCAAAAAGGGAAAAGAATTTGCTGTTAGAGGGTAAGAGCAGGGTGCCAACGGACGTAGGTAGATCTATCTGGCCTGCAACAAGCGGCCTCGGGCCTCTCATGGCTCCGGTGCTGCTAAGGGACCTTGAGCCTCCTGAAATCTCCATGCATCACTCAGAAAATGAAGAGTCTCCCTGCCATCCTCTGACAGCTGTCACTCAGGAGCTGACCTCACAGACCAGCCGTTTTCTGCATTCTCCTCTCCAGGTCACTGGAGACACTGGGGAGACGTTCTTTGGCAACACTGGCGTCTTTTAAGACCAAAGTAGTTTTTTAACTTGCCCTGGGCCCACAAAGAAATACCCGGGGTTCTAGATGCAGCTCTGCCACCTGGCTGCTGTGTGATCTTGAGCAAGTCTTAACCAGTTATCAGCTTTCTCAACTCGAAAAAAAGGATACTAAGACTTATGGGGCTTGACGAAGACGAAATGATCGAGTAGCTACCAGCGCCTGGTACTTGCTCAACACTCACTGGTACCCGAATCAGTTTAGACGAACTGTCCTGTTGCAGTTACCCGGAGGGGCTGAGCGAGTACTGCTGCCACCCTGCCCTATGACTGTGGCACTTGTGCCTATTCATCCAGACCAATCCAGAGGGAGCTGGGGTGGCACCGGGAACCGGTTCCCTTGGCACACGTTTACACCATGCCCTGGCCTAAACTGAAGAACTGCGAGGAGCCCAGAGGAGATAATGACAGTGGCAGGTGCTGTGAAGAGGGTGAGCATGGGTAATTCCGGTGCCCATGGCAGGAACACTTGACCCTGTTAGGGGCTCAGGGACCTAGAGCACACGAAGCAGTGCTCAAGGATGGGAAAGAATCAGGCTGCGGGAAAAGCTTATGCAGAGGCTCAGGATGAGGGAAAGGGCCCATGGGACCAAGGGAAGCAACCAGTTCTGTCACAGAGGAGGGGAGTGGACAGAGAGACCAGAGAAACTGGCTAGGGCCAGATCCTCCGTGCCTCGCATGCCAGACTTACTGGCTTCCCCATTCCCCACAAGTGGCTCTGTGATGTTAAGGAAGCCTGTGTTCTCCCGGAATCTGAGGACAGTGACCTCTTCCCTGCCCACCACCTAGGGCGGCTCAGGCAAAGCGACAGCTGTGAGTGACAGAAAGCTAAGGAGCTGCAGGGGTTTTGTTGTGGGGACAAACAGGAACACATGCCAAGGACCCAGGCAGAAGTGACTTTACGGTGATCTATACAACTCTCTGGCCTCCTGCTCCATCCACTGCCCAGTGTGGTGACAAGCATCCCACATGCATCCTGCAGCCAGAGAACTATGACAGTGTCCCCCACATTCTGGCTAAAAACACAGGATGACAAGCTGGGTCTACCGTTTTTAATTTTAATTAAGGAAATCCAGTCGAACATACGAGAAGCTGTAAACACTGAAATACAGCAATATATAAGCTGCTGCACAGAATTCTTACCCCAAACACCACACAAAGCTGCACGAGGTCTCTCTGACTATGTGGTGTGGAAGAGGGAGAGTTTTATTACCCGGGCTGACAGTGGAGTGAAATGCAAGGTGCGGCTTTCCATACAACCAGAGCACAGAGACAGTGTGCGGTCACCAGGAGACGCTACTTTGCACTTGTACTTGGCTGCAGCTCTTCCTGCTGCTGCTCTTCTGGTTTTGGCTTCTTTTTCTTCTTCTGTTTGGAGAGGCAGCTCAAGGCAGACTCGCTATTTCTTAAAGCAGGCGTGAGCGCGGGAGGCTTGCCAGACTGAGTTGGGTACTTGGTTTTCAGGTCATGTTTAAACAGCGGCTGGGACAGTAAATGGCGCAGCTCCTTCTTCAGGACCTTCATCCGCTTTTGTCTCCGACACTCTTCTTGCTCGTCAGCTCTTCCCCCTGGAAACAATATAAAACAGATCATATTTACTAGGATTTATGGAAGCATTTGGTTTCCCTCGATGGGTAATACTTGTGATGAAAACGTTTGGAACTCTTGGGGAGGCAGGGCTCCGAAGTTCCCTGCAGAAGCTAATGCAGCTGAGTTCTAACAGTTTAGGAGGGTTACTCAGGCCACTGTCCTTTACCTCACAACAGCCCTCTAGACAGGAATTATCTCCATTTTACAGCCTGGGAAACTCGGAGGTCACGTGCCAAAGGTCACAGAGCTAGCTGTCAAACAGATTAGAACCCAAGTCTGAGGACTTGAAGGTCAGTTTTCCTACGACACGCCCACTTGCTGCCTGGAGTTTAGCAACTCAACGGCAACAAACCCCTCAGGAGACAGCGAACGCTGTCTACGCAGCCCAGCTCTCCTGTATCTCCCCACCAGCACTGTGACTGTCTGTCCTCAGGAAGGGAATCCAGGGCCTCATGCATCTACAGCCCAAGCAAGCCCCAGGCCCAACCTCCCAGGAAAACCGGCTCCCTGTCATCAAGCCCAGCAGTTCAGTTCCTGGCTTCCATGCTGAGCAGAGCGCAGCAAGTCAGCCTCTGGACTTGGTGGCTTTGACCCCAAGATGCCAACATCCCAGCTGAGCTGCCCACTGTCGGCTGGAAAGAACACTGGCTCTAACTCCAGAGCTTTCAGTTCTAGATGTGGTTCTACTACTTAGACTCAGGGCCGTTCCTAGAGCAGGGATCACACAGGTTTGTCCCCGAACCCTTAGCCTCTGGCCCAGGTTCAGAGTAAGGGCTCCGGGGACGCCTGGTGGTGGAGCCGTTTTCCTGCACCAATCGCTTCACTTCTATGAGCCTCCAGTTCCTGTATGTAAAAGGATAAAATTCCTGCCATTTATGTCATAAGACCTGGAGAAGATCAGATGCGATGTTCCATTAGCTTGGAAGACATGTAGTAGAAACAATAATAGCAATAAATAACTTGAAATGTATCAACTACTTTCTACGTGCCAGTCCCTGTTATAAGCACTTTGTATTCATTAACTTAAGCCATCTTTGCAACAACCCTACGAGGTAGGTACTTTAAGAACCACTTTTTCTAATGAGGATAGCCGAGATACAACTGAGACGTGAAGAAACCTGACCTGGCAATACAGCCGGGGAAGGGAATGGGCCAGCACTCAGACGCGGGTGGTATGGCTGGGACCCTGTCCCCGATGTCATTATACTCCACTGCATCTCAACGTGAGGGATGCAGCGGAAGGCTCCAGACAAGCAAGACAGGGAAGAAAGGCCAAAGGCTTCAGGCTCATGTGGGACTATGGCCTGTCTCAAAGAAGGAAAGGCATCTCGCAGATTTTGACAGGACCGTGGGAGTGGAGAGGCTCCAAGGAGACAAAAGCTGAAGAGAAAAACGAAGAAAAGAAAAGCAGCTGAATGCACCCCTGCTCGAATCCCACGCAGCCCACGTACCCTTATACATTCCTTCATCCAGCTCAATCTCAAGGGCAGCGGCTGCCTGCTCAATCCAAGAGTTGTGCAGACAAGCCTGGAAGTTCCGGTACTCCGCTTTCTCAATCTGTCGAGCTAAATGGATTCGCTCCTGGGGGGAAGGAACAAAGTGTTCATCTGAGAGAGGGTTCAGGCCTCTGCGAGGAAAGGTCTCAATTAAACTGTTTCTAAAAAACGCTCTTGAGATGAATGGCTCCCGATAAAAACGCAGAGGGCAATCATTACACGGAATCACAAGAGCTGCTTTCTGAACAACAAACCTTCGGAACAGGCCCCCTTGGACACCTGCCTCGGTCAGACTGCCAGTCTACAGGTGTCAAAGGGAACCATTTCCCAGGCACTACGGCTGGCTTCTATGGCTGGACTGAGACCCTGAAATACCCCAACAGCTTGAGTTAGGGCCCAGCTCTCAACCACAGGGACAGCAAACTCACAGAACCGCCTTCCCTCTCTTTCATGTTTTTTGCCAAAAACATTTCAACTCTCCCTCCCATGAGCGTTGGAGTCAGGACTCAGTGACAGAAAATACCAATGAAAGGGAGAGACCTTGTGACGTGGGGTAGAGGAGTCACGGAGAGCCAGGTTGGTTCCCAACACTGCTAACAGGAACCTCCCACTGTCCGCCCTCACTGTCCACACCTCCCTGTCCACACCTCCCCAAGGGGCCAACATTCCCTTCGAGCCAGAGGAGCCAACGGTCCTGAACTGTTCCATGCTTCTGCTCCCTCAACTCCCCGAATTTCATCTTCTCTTCACCTCTCCACATCTCTGTGTGCAGGAGGCTCGGAGGAAAGCTCATCTCCCACCAATGTGACCACGTGTCCACGTGTCCACCAGCCCCACACTGCTCCATTTGTACCTGAACCTGAGCATGGGCTTGGCCTGCCTCACGAGCCAGTGGACCTCTATGGAGAATCCACCCTGCTTTGCTACCTGACACACTCTGGCCCACAGCAGCACCCACTCGGAGAAATGTCTGCCAAGTTAAAACATAACCCAAAGATAGGAATTATTGGCATCTGCTGCAGGCACGTGACAAACCCTGAGTATCTGCCTTGGCAAGGCACGCTGACCTC